ACACAGCCGGCCACGCGGGACCAGCACTGCCTGCGCCCGCTCCCGCGTGGTTCAGCCGGCTGAGGGCTGCGTCCTCCGCAAGGGCGCCAGCCCCACACCGAGCTCAGACACAGCACGTAGCCGTGGGAGCCGGAGGGGAGCCAGATTAGATGGGAAAGGTGAGCTCAGAGCAACGGGCACGCACACACCCCTCCTCGCTTCGGAGGAGAGGGGCTGGTGGATGAACGAGCGCGCGGAGCACGGCGCGTTTGTGCACGCACGCTGTGTTGGAGATATGTGCTCCCTCCTCCGTGCTCAGCCTGTGCCAGCCCCATGGGAACGCAGCAGAGCTGCCTTTAGCCCCCCCAGCTGGGGCAGCGGGAAGAGCCTTGCCACAGCAGCGCACGGCTGCGCGGCGGTTCCTGCGGTTGCCTTGCAGAGAGCCCTGGCTGCAGCAGCAGCACTGAGCAAGGCAGCTTAGAGCTGCCGGTGGTACAGCACAGGCTCGGGAGAGAAGGAGACCAGGGTTGTTGGCAGCTAGTACATACAGTCACACTGACGTTAGCCCCCAAAATACCTCCTAGGAGTACTGATCTCTTTGGGAACATCTTGGTGGGTCTGGCTGGTGCCTCTTTGTCCCACCATCCTGCACCCTGCCTTGTGTGAGGAGCACACACCTGGGATCACTGTGGGAGCAGGGGTGTGCACAAAGGAGAAAGCTGGGCAGGGGACGGGGGAGAGCCCGGTGATGGAGGCCTTGCTTCTGCAGTGAACTCAAGTATCTGAAGTGAGAACAGCAGAATGGAAAGGAAAGAACAGCCAGGCGTGGGCTTGATTTCCCAGCCTCAAAGGTGATCGTAAGGAGCTCTGATGGTTATCATCCCTCAATAAGGTCAAGATATCCGTAATTGTCTGCCTGCACGGAACCTGAATTCATGTTTGTTATACCCAGAGAGCTCATGTACAACCAAAAGGTGGTTTTCCCTCCTGAGGAACCCCAGATTTTGCTATTGATTGGGCTGTGCTTATCTAGTACACAGCAGACAACTTCTGCCAGTCTAGTCTGACATCCTTCCTTAAAAGCTGGTAGCACAGAACAGCATGAAAGAAGCCAGGAGAAAAGTCAGTCAGTAAAGCGGGGACCAGAGAACGCTGCCTGCTGCCCGGACCAGCCTGCTGAGGAGAGGTGCCTGTTTTCTCAGCGGTGCTTAACACACAGATTCTTTGTGGGCATGTTTTCCTATGGGCCTGAACCACATGGGAAAGAAGTCAGTGCCACTTCCTGGCCCAAAGCCAGCGTGCCAACCTGTGCAGGCTTGTGCTTCCAGGTCCTCAGTGTGGTTTTCTGCATACTAGCCACACTGGTGGCTTTTGTATAAAAGTTTGCAGGACTGCAAGGTTGTGTTTGTAGTGACTTGGGGCACTCAGGTACCATGGAGCCATCTCTTTCATAAATACCATAAAATCATAAGGAGAATGATGCTTGTGTGGAGCCAGTTTGTGCAAATGTCAGTTCTAACACCCTCTGCACTTCTCTTTACAGGTCCTAGCCTCTAGATGATGGACTCTTTAAGCACTCCCTTTCCTGCTAGCGAGGTCACGGAGTACAGACGAAGCAATTCATGCTGTCAGATCCAAGATGAGTTCCTGTCTGTGACACTCCCTGTGATGTACTCCCTTATCTTCGTCATTGGCCTGGTTAGCAACACCCTTGCACTCTGGGTGTTCTCGTGCAGCGTGCAGCGGAAGACCTCCATCACCGTGTACATGAGGAACCTGGCTCTGTCCGACCTGTTGCTCTCCCTCTGCCTGCCCTTCCGCATAGCTTATCAAAACAAGAGTGAGCCCCGGATCTTCTGCAACATTGTCGGGGCCTTCTTCTATCTCAACATGTACGTCAGCATCACGTTCCTCAGCCTGATCAGCCTGGACCGCTATCTGAAGATCATCCGGCCCCTCCAGAAGTTTAAGATTCACACCATGTCCTGTAGCACCATGGCCTCTGGGGTGGTTTGGTTGGTGCATTCAGCTTTCATGCTACCTTTCTTTTTTGAGACAAAAGGAAAAGGGCCCTGTGACCATAAATGCTTCCACTTCAGGAGCAAAAGCACTGTGGCAGCAGCCTTTAACATGGTTGCAGTAGCCACTTTCTTTATCCTGCTACTGCTCTTCCTTTACTCCTACAGCAAGATATTTGCCAGGCTCCACAGAGTCTCTTCAGTGAATGCTCAGCAGCTGAACAAGAGGACTAGCATGAAAGCCATCACCAAGACCTTCGTTGTCCTCATCATCTTCATTGTATGCTTCACCCCCTATCACATTGTCCGTATTCCTTATGTCCTCGCGCAAGTGGGGGTCATTTCTAGTCTGCCCTGGAAGCAGGGTCTCCATCTCGCTAATGAGCTTGTGCTCTGCATCTCAGCCCTCAACAGCTGCCTTGACCCAGTGATCTTCTTTTCCCTGTCTAGCAGCTTCCGGAGGGCTGTGCTCTGCACCATCCAGGGCAGGCTGAAGAGAGCTCTTCTAAGGAACCAGGGAGGACTGAGCTACAGCAGGTCTGTGACTGAAGTCTAGGCCTTCCAGTGGGTACCAAGGTCTCAGGCATGGGATGATCTCGTCAAGGATTTGCTCTGACTGCTGGTATTTACCAAATGAGACTTGCCAGGAAGACAGAGGAAGAAACTGGAACCATTTCATGTTTCCTCCACTGGCACCATCAGGGCTAGTGCTACCCATGGGGGTAAATGAAGAACAAAAGAATAGCTGAGGCCTTACTGTTTTCCATGCCAGCTCTGCTCACACAGCTGAAGAGCTTATTTCCTAGGAAGAATGAAGGCTGGGTGTGCCACAGAAGAAACAGCCTTGGCCTAGGACCTCCACCCAGCGTAGGGAAGGGGAGGGACAGAGCCCAGGACAGAGAAAGGCTCCTTCGATGGGAGGAGAAGTAGTGAGGAGCAGAACAGGAATGGGAATCTGCTGTGGATCTTGTCTACCTCCACACTATAGAAAGCATGAAATGGGAAAAGAAGATGAAGTGCAGAAGAATTGGGAAAGGGGGAGGGAAAAGCTCATTGGGGCATTACTGGGGAGCAGAAGAATGTTTGGCTCCATGATGGAGTGCAGAGATACGCAATGCCGGGCTTGGATAACAGGCAAGCATTATAACCCCTGTAACTTCAAACTAAAACAACAGGCACTTTTTTTCTCTTGTTTTTACCTCAGTCCCTGTAGCACAGCGTCAGCCTCACTTTTCTGTGTATTCAAACAGGCAACTGTGGGCTGCTTTTAGCTGTTTTCCTTTGCCCATTTCACTGGCATGTTCACATGGGACTGGCAGCTTCCTCGCCTGACCATTGCACAGCACTTGTTTCTGGCTTGGACCGTGCCAGGAACATTGCTCCAGCAATGTTCAATCTCAAGAATGAGATGCTGACTTTGATGTCCCCAGCTCAAGCACCGTTACTATGCACTGACTCAAAAGGAAGTTTTTGGCCTTTACTATTCTTCATTGCCCATCCTCTTCCCAAAGAAGAGGATATTTCCCTGGTTGGGGTTTTTCCCCCCCTTTCATATGCTCACATCTCATCTGTTCACTTATTTTTAGAAGACTGCAGGCTTGGAGAAACACACTGATTCACACACCTGGCAAGCAAAGCCTGGGCGATTAGCATTGGGGAGGATTTTCATTCAGACTGTGAACTGCTTTATTAATTACTTAATTCAAACACCTGAGGAATACTTGTGAGAATAAAATGTTTTGTTAAAGATTGAATTCTCTGATCTTTCCAGTTGAGGCTGGAGCAACCCCTGAATCTCACTTTAGCTCTGTTACAAAGGAGCACCTGAAGCTCAGGGGAAGACACACTTGCTGCCTTCTGTTATCAGTGCTAATAAACACACCAAGAGCAAGGGAGAGGGGTATGTTTCCTTTTAGTGGGGGTGGGGGGAAATGCCGAAAGCCAAGCTCTTCCTGTGGAAAGCTGCAAGAAAAGGTTACAAAGCGGTTCTCTTCTGATCAGCGCTAACAAGAGTCAAAGCAAAAACAACGTGCGGTTCAGAAGTCTCAACATCGCAACACCGGAGCACCTGTGCGCTATGCAGCTTGAAGGAAACCCCGTGAGCTCTTGCAGTCAAGTTTCCCCCTCATGAAGTGGAGTCTCTTGACATCTTCCTGCCAGAGGAAACTAAGAGTAGCACAGAGAGCGGGACCTCACCTCAGCCCAGCGCTGGACCTGGCCCGCATGCGGCGCCTGGGATCAGAGGGGTGTGTGGTACCTGCACAGGGGGGAGCAGCGTGCAGTGAGGGTGAGAGCAGATGGGGACTCGTGATGCTCGTGGTGGGTCTCGGGGGCAGGCAGCGGTGGGAGGGTTGGCAGCAAAGCACGTGGAAGTTTCCGGCTCTACAAGAGAAAGCCGCAGGGCCGAAGGGGCTGATGCTCACTTCTCGGAAGCCGGTGCCCTGTACCATATCCTGTTTCCTTTACGGTCAAGGCAAGCAGCTCAGCGCGCAGCGGTCAGCGGCTGCAGGCCTGCTCGCCCCGCACTGCGCTCCCGACGCCTCCCTCTGTGCAGGAAGCGGGGTGGACCGGCTCCTTCCGCCCAGCACCGAGGCGGCAGGGCCAACCCCCCCGTCCCCG